AATAAGGTTAGCTTTGATAAAGAAAGGACTAATCCATTATGCTTAATGGTTTGAGAAAATATATTGAGATGTTTCAGTGTGCTTCTATGGAAGAAGAAAAGATTAGTATGTCATCGATGTAAACAATTGAAAAATGTGTAAAATGAATAAAAATATCATTTATGATTTTTTAAAATTCGGAAGAAGCATTTTTCAACCCGAAAGGCATGACATTCCATTCATAATAGCCAAAAGGAACTGTGAAGGCTATTTTGTATCTATCCTTTTCAGCAATTTGGATTTGCCAGAATCTTGATTTAAGATCAAATTTTGAGAAAACCTTTACGTGAACGAGCCGTTGGATTAGATCCCTTTTCTTGGGTAGGGGATATTGGATCCATTGGAGGGCTTCATTGAGCGGTTTGTAGTTGATGATTAATCTAGGAATACCTCTTTCTATTTCAGCATTCTTCTGGATATAGAAAACAGTACAGCTCCATGGGGAACGGCTTTTTCTGATGAGAGATTTGCTAAGTAATTCTTGGACTTCCTTCATACAATAATCAAGAAGTTCTTGATTCATTTGGCAAGGATGAGCTTTGGTAAGGATATCCTTTTCATTGAAAGATTTTTTATAGGGTAGTTCAACAATATGTTGTCGTCTGTGCTAGAAGGCGTTTGGGAGATCAGAGCAAACCTGACCTTCTAGTCTTCTTTTGAACCTTTGAATAGATTCTTAGAGACTTTTGTGACTGAGCCGATTATCAATCTGTTTAGAGATTAGTTCTTGTTTGAGAAAGTCTAAATGTTTCGTTTTGCTTTCAATCCTATTGATAGCTGGGATCTAAGTGACATAAGAATCCTTGATGATATTGAGATCCTTAGAGCTGATAGGATGGGCAAAAGGAAACAAATTTCTTATCTTACCAGGGTTGTTGAAATTCCCTGGTCATCAACTTTAAATGGGTAAAGAAGAGAAATAAACGGAGTCCCTAAAATAACAGGGGTATTGAGGTGTTTGACAAGGATGAAAGGTGTCTTTATACAAAGACCTTGGTTGCAAACATGGGCTTTAGTTATCTTGTACTGAACAGTGAGTCGTGAACCATTAGCACCTTGAAGTCGTTCTTTGGTGATGATTAAACCCTTGAAATTAGAGAAGAGTGGTATACCTTTTGTATACACCACAAATTCTCAGCCCCTTTCTTTACATGGTTTGAAAAATATTGTCTTGACAATGATATTGATTTTCCTTTCTCATCAATCAAATCCTTAAATGTCACATCCAAATCCACAACCATATGGAAAACATCCCGAGGTGAAGCCATTGAAGCCATTCACCCATCAGCTGATGCAATCAAATTCTGGACGAAAATAGCAGGAACTGTAACACTTACTGCTTCTCCTTTTAAAATAAAGACAGTCGCCACCAACAATACTCCAACCACAACCCGTGATGTTCGAAGTATCATGGAACAAAATAATTACACGAACCAACACCTCCAGACACTTGGTGCTTAGCTTTCTCGTCTTGAAACCTTGTTTCAAAAAGATCAAATAAATCCAATCCAGTCGGATAATGCTCCCCCTTTCATAACCCATGAAATTCCCCAACATTTGTCTAAACAATTATCCAGGCACAACATCATTGTAGAAGTACAGGACAGAATTAAGCAAATCGAATCCCTTATAGCTTCCACGGCTACGATTCTTGATACGCCAGAATGACCCCCCAGAAACATCAATACTCTAGACCAAGAAATTGGTACTGACACTGAAATTGATGAAATTACATAAATCTTCCAGAACCAGCACATTAATATTTGAAAACCTACTTCTTCTAGAAACTATTATCCTAGACCTACTTTCCCAAACCTCTAGATTGAAGAAAGATGATAGTTCTAGCAAGCTGCTTATCATGGTGGCACTATTTATGAATGGAACATAGATGGCAAAATCGAGTATCACATTCTCAATACCCTTCAAGAAATGACAATGGTCAGTACTGCTTACAAAACCAAGAATGACTCATCTGATCCTACTATAGCACAACTCTTAGTAGGAGGTTTTATAGGACAACTCAAAGGATGGTGGGACAACATCCTTACTCCTGATAAATGCCATACGATTCTTCATTCCATCAAAACAACTCCCGAAAGAACAACGATCAAAATAGAAGAGGGTAAAGGTATAAAAGATGTAGGTGCTACACTCATTTTCTTTATCGCTAAACAATTCCTTGGTGACCTTTCAATTGTTAGAGACAAAACCTCAGAGATCTTAGCCAACCTTAGATGCCGCAAACTTCAGGATTTTCTGTGGTATAAATGATGAGTGCTCAAATGTGATGCATTTTAACACCTAAGCTAGGGTATTCTAGTCCAATCATCTATCTTATTTTCATGTCTTAGATACTTATTTGTGTTATTGCCTATTGCAGGTGAATAATGTTCAAATAGGCTAACAAGAGCCATTTAGACCATTTTTGGAGCTAAGGAGCAAAGTTGGAAATAAGCCAAGAAGAATGCATCAGGGAAACTTTGATCGATCGAAGGGGAGTCCCGATCAATCGAAGTGATCTTCAATCGATCGAAATCAAGGCGGTGCCAGCTCAGCCAATGGGATGGAGCCTGGAATATATTTTGTGCCATGTCAGCTTCAATCGATTGAAGCCAAGTGTTTGATCGATCAAAAATCTTCAATCGATCGAAAATGCTGTTGGCAGTGAGTTGTCTAATTCCCGAGTGCGCCAATTCCTACCTACCTTGCATAGCTGCAAATTTTCTCCAATCCTAGGCTATTATTTTGACTTGGTCTGTACTCAAAGGAGTGTGTAATTGATTTATTGAACATCATTGTAATAGACAAAAGGGGGAGCAAAAATATAGAATATAGAATTTTCCTCTCTAGACTTAGGGTTTTTGGAGAAGAAAGTAAGGATGAGGATGATGAAGCCAACCTCCAAGCTAGCCCTTAAGGGTTCCATGTCTACTACAATGAGTGGCTAAATCCTTCTCTTGGAGCTAGAGATAGCCCCTAGGCATGCTTCTCAAACCTAGCTGTTATGTATTTTTGGGGATTTTAATTGTAATAAATGTTTTGACCATGAATAAATAGAGATCTTGTAATTTTTACTTGATTTATATGGATTAATGCTTTCAATTAATCATTTAGTTCTATCCATATGTCTATGTATGCTAGAATTAATGTTCATGTGCTTTCCTCTAGATTTAATGAAATTGATACATGTCTATGTGTGTTGATGATGTTAATCTAGTGATGGTCAAAGCATAGTGCTTAATGGAATACTTTTGTGATTTATTTGATGGTTCATACTTGTTTCTTGATGGATTGTATCACATCTCTAGTTTATTTAGTTTAATTTCATGTCACTATCCTAGTTGTAGTGTAATTGCTTTAATTTCTTAGGTAGGTGAACAATCCATGCTTGTTTCTTAATGTTCCATACTTGTGAATGCAAAGAGTGTTTATCTCTAGATATTTGTGTGTGCATTAATTATGGTTTAACTGAATGGATATTGGTCTCATTTGATAGGTTGTGTTATTCATTTAAATTGGCTAGACAATCTATACTTATTTGCCTTCCATGTTTAATTTCAATTAATGTCACACACCCACAAGTTACAATTTAAATTTCCCTATTAATGTATAATTGCTAGTGTTTGATAAAGTGAAGCTTAGTGGTGACTCTAAACCCCAAGACCTCTCTCCTATATCTTTTTCCTACTTTTTAGATTGCTTTTTACTTACATTAATCTTTAATTGCATTGTAGTTTAATTAAACAATCACTAACCATCTTTGATCATTCGACCAACTAATCTAACATTAATTTCCATCATAAACACACCTCCTTTCCCTTAGGACGATCCCTACTCACCCTAGCTATATTTAATAGTTAGATGTAGTAGTGGCACTTTACAAATTTAAACTTAGCCACACTACACATTTTTGCAACTCGGTTCGAGGCGACCACCAAGTTTTGGCGCCGTTGTTGGGGATTGGCACTGTCGTGTTTGGAAATTAATTAGGAATTAGTACTCTTTTGATCTTGTTTTTATTTTTATTTTATTTTGGTTACTTATTGTGTTTGTTCTTGAATGGCTAGGTGAATTGAGCCAAGAGAGTGAAGCAAAGGGAAATTGAAAAGCAAAAGAAGCCAAGTGAAGCTAAACAAGAGCATAAAAAGCTCAAAAATAAAAAATAAAAATAAAAAATTGCAAAGCAAACAAGGCAAAGAAAAAAATTGAAAAATTACTTAAAGTTAGATAAGGACCCTTTGTGAGCTTTTCTAAACTTAATCTCTAGTTAAATCGTGAGCCCGCGTGGAGGTAAGTTTTTCATTTCTTAGATAAATCGTGAGCCCATATGGAGGCAATTTAATTTTTCTTGCATATTGCTCAAAGTATGGGAGTATGGGAACATCGTAGGTGGAGATTTGTTGATTGATTTGTTACGGGGGCAAAGTTTTTGTTTTGTTGATTTTATTGTTGTGTTACTTGATTTTTGTGCGGTCTTAACCAACCCTTCATCATTCTAATGGAAAATCTAGAGGGTCATCTTGGTTATTTAGACCCGAATTTCATGGAACATCCTTCTTTCAACCAATGTCCTCCCAGAGCTCAAGCTCCAATTCCTCTAATGATCCTTCATGATCATTATAATCTCCATGAATACCATGCACCAACTTGCATCATGCTTCCTAATTTTGGGGCCAATCATTATAAAATTAAGCCCGAGACTATTCAAATGTGTCCACTTTTCTACGGCTTAGATGGTGAGGAAACATATAACATCTTAATGAATTTCTTGAGATATGTTCCACCATGAAATACATGAATGTCCCGGAGGAGGTCCTTAGGTTACTCCTTTTTCCCTTCACTCTTAAAAATAAGGCGAAACATTGGTTCAACACCTTAGGGGAAAATTCGATAACTTCTTAGATACAAATGCAAAATGGATTTTTGAAAAAATTTTACCCTATAAGTTTGACCAATTCAATGAGAACAACCATCAGAGAATTTTCTCACCTGAAAGGAAAACTTTTGCATGAGGCTTGGGAAAGATTGAATGATTTGTTAAAGAAATGTCCACACCATGGCATTCCAAAATGGCAAGTGGTTCAATATTTCTATGAAAGCTCATCCGACACTCATAAGGACATAGTTGATACATCATGTGGAGGTTCATATTTTGGAAAGCATGAAGATGATGTTTGGCACCTTTTTAAAAAAATGAGTGAAAATTCTTTACATAAATATCACACTTCTCGGTTAAGTCATGATTCTAATGAAAAGAGGAAAAATTTGAAATGGGTCAAATTGAAAGTCCAATGGAGATTGTAGTAGAGGTCAAAACTCTTTCTCAAAGACTTGATAAATTCTTATTGAGTCAAAAACCGGTTATCAAGTCATCTCCTTTTCATCACTCTCATCATTTTTGTGAGCATTGCATAACATGTTCTAGTATTTTACATTCTACTTCCAATTGTCCCTATGGACATGTATTTGATGAACACTTTGAACAAGTCAATGCAACATTTGTTCATCCTCATTCAAATGCCTATGTCCCAGGGTGGGATGAAAATTTAAGTTCTTTCCAAGCTAAAAATTCTCAAAATCGATATGTTCATCCTCATAAAAGAAATAAAAGTCCTCAAGAATTTGTTTCATCTTCTTCTCATCATCAAAGAATAACCACTTTTCACATCCTCAAGTCTATGAATCTCAAAATAGTTTTCATCATTCTCATGCACTTCCTAGTGATTCTATATTTGAGGACAAGGTTTTGGTGGCTTTGGGTGGTTTGGAAATGAACACCAATTTGTTGCATTCTCATTCTCAATCGATATCGAAGCTTGAATCTCAAATCGGGATGATAGCTAATGCATTGAATGCAAGAGAGATTGGTAAACTACCTAGCCAACCCGAAAGGAACCCAAAAGCCCAATATCTAGTGGAAGTAAACTCTACATCGGGGTGTCCTTCCCAAGAACAAGTGCAAGCCATTACTACTTTGAGAAGTGGCAAGCAAATTGACAATAGGGTTGAAAAACCAAATGAAGTTAGTGAGCCGGTACAACCCAAAGTTAGCACCCGTCCCATTTCCATTCCTACTCATACTTCCTTGGATGTTAGTGGTCTTAATAGGACTTCTCAATCTTCTTTGTCATCTCCTTAAGTTACAAAATCTTATGAGCCAAAAGCTTCATTTCCATATGCTTTGAGAGAGACTTCGCCTTTTAGAAGGCAAGAAGGGAAAATCCATGACATGATGGAGGTGTTTAAGCAAGTTAACATAAATCTTCCCCTCTTAGATGCAATTAGGCAAATTCCGCCTTATACAAAATTTTTAAAAGACCTTTGCACACAAAAGAGAAAGAGTAAGTGATAAGTCCTTAAAAAAGTGTTTCTCACGGAGCAAGCGAGTTCCATTATCCAACATAACACTCCACCTAAGTTCAAAGATCCCGGTGCTCCGACCATCTCATGTGTGATTAGAAACCATGAAGTTCGTAGAGCTCTTCTTGACTTAGGAGCGAGTGCTAATTTGATTCCTTACTCCGTGTATGTCCAATTAGGATTAAATGAATTGAAGCCAACATCAGTGGTTCTTTAATTAGCCGATAGATCCATCAAAACTCCTATGGGCATGGTTGAGGACATACTTATCAAGGTTGACAAGTTCTACTTTTCGGTTGATTTTGTAGTTCTTGATACCGAACCAGTTGCTAATCTTACCAACCACATCCCAATCATCTTAGGAAGGCCATTTCTTGCCACCGCAAATGCAACTATCAATTGTAGATCCGGGGTTATGGACCTTTCTTTTGGTAACATAATGGTTAAGGTTAATATTTTCAATGCAAGTCGACATCCCATCGATGAAGACGAGTGTTTCTTTATAGATGTCTTAGATGAGGTTGTTGAGGAGTCCATTCCTTCCATGATTATGAAAAAGCCAACCGAGGACAATCTTTCATCTCTTGTTTCCGAGGATCCTCTCACATCTTGTCTCCTTGAAATGTATGGTAATTGTGGGTCTGATAATGAAGGATCAATGAATGAAGTAAATGATTTAATGGAATCCGTTGCAAGTTTAGATTTCCCACCTTGGAAAGCTCCAAAGGAACCTTTTCCTCGACTCTCTAGCACTCCACCGGTCCCATCTTTAGTCTCTCCACCCACTCTTGAGCTTAAAACTCTTCCTTCCAATCTTAAGTATGCCTTCTTGGGCCCAAAAGAGACTCTTCCAGTCATTAAATCTTCAAGCCTTGAAGAGGACCAAGAGAATGATCTTTTAAATGTGCTTAAAGAACATAAGGAACCTATTGGATGGAGTGTGGCAGATCTAAAGGGAATTGAGCCTTTTATTTGTATGCATCGCATACTTATGGAAGAAGATACAAAACCTTTTAGGGATGCCCAAAGGAGATTAAATCCAAACATGAAAGAAGTGGTTAAAAAGGAAGTTGTTAAACTTTTACAAGCCAGTATAATTTATCCAATCTCTAATAGCAGATGGTTGAGTCTAACTCAAGTAGTTCCCAAGAAATCAGGGATTCCTGTGTTTGAAAATTCAAAAGGTAAGGCAATTTCTAAGCGTACCGCTAATTCATAGCGTGTATGGATTGATTATCGAAAATTAAATGCCGCCACTAGAAAAGATCAATTTCCTTTGACATTTATTGATCAGATTCTAGAGAGATTGGCCAGGCAACAATATTATTACTTTCTTGATGGCTATTCTGGTTACAATCAAGTAGCTTTAGACCCTTTAGACCAAGACAAAACCACCTTTACTTGTCCTTTTGGTACATTTGCTTATAAGCAGAAGCCTTTTGATTTGTGCAATGCTCCCGCATTCCAAAGGTGTATGACGTTAATTTTCTCGGACATGGTGGAAGAGTATCTAGAAGTCTTTATGGATGATTTTTCTATCTTTGGGTGCTCATTTAATGCATGCCTTAAAAATCTATCTTTGGTACTTAAAAGATGTCGCGAAACCAACCTTGTTCTTAGTTGGGAAAAGAGCCATTTCATGGTTCAAGAAGGTATTATTTTAGGTCATGTCATCTCAAAAAGGGGTATCGAGGTGGATAAAACAAAAGTTGAGCTCATTTCTGAATTACCTCCACCTTCTATAGAGAGAGAGGTTCGCTCCTTTTTAGGTCATGCCGGCTTCTATCGCTGTTTCATCAATAATTTTAGCAAAATTACTAGACCCCTGTGCAATCTTCTTGCCAAGGAGACTCCTTTTGTCTTTGATCAAGCATACCTTAATGCTTTCCATACACTTCATGGTTTGTTGTCATCAGCTCCGATCATGCAAACTGCTAATTGGTCATTACCGTTTGAAATCATGTGTGATGCCTCTAATTACGCTATGGGAGCAGTTTTCGGGCAAAGGGTAGTCAAACTTCCATGCACTGTATACTATGCAAGTAAGACCCTCTTAGGAGCTTAATTGAATTACTCCACTACCAAGAAAGAATTACTTGTTATAGTGTATGCTCTTGATAAAGTCAGGTCCTATCTCTTAGGCTCAAAAGTAATTGTCTATTCTGATCATGTTACTTTAAGACATCTTTTGACTAAGAAGGAAACAAAGCCTCGTCTGAAAAGATAGATTTTGCTTCTTCAGGAATTTGATTTTGAAATCAAAGATAAGAAAGGCACCAAAAATGTGGTTGCCGACTATCTTTCAAGGTTGATGGTCGAATCTTCTCCAAGCCCACTAATTCATAATTCTTTTCCGGATGAACAACTCTTCCAAATTTCCAATGGACAAATGCCTTAATTTGCCGATATTGTGAATTATCCTGCGATTGGCAAACTTCCCACTAATTGGTCAAGGTAAGAAAAGAAACGATTCTTTGCCAACATCGAAAAATATTATTGGGAAGATCCCATTTTGTTTCAATATTACCCGAATCAAATTGTGAGGAGATGTATTCCGGAGAGTGAAGTTCCTAGTGTCCTTGCATTTTGTCATACCCTTGCATGTGGCGGGCATTTTAGTACAAAGAAAACCACCTTGAAGGTTCTTCAGAGTGGGCTATTTTGGCCTACTATTCGTAGAGATGCCTACAATTTTTACAAGGAGTGTGAAAGATGTCAAAAAATGGGATCAATGTCAAGAAGAGATATGATACCCTTGACAAATATTCTTGTTGTGGAGGTTTTTGATATTCGGGGTATTGATTTCATGGGTCCATTTCCTATGTCTTATGGCTTTCAATATATTCTACTTGCCATTGATTATGCTTCTAAGTGGGTGGAAGCTTATGCTACCAAAACGAATGACCATTCTGTGGTTATTCAATTCATTAAATTTAATATCTTTGCTCGTTTTGGTATGCCAAGGGCTATAATAAGTGATGGAAGGAAGCATTTTTGCAATCAATTCTTGAAACACTTATTTCTTAAGTACTCTGTTATTCATAAAGTGGCCACCTCTACCATCCTCAAACAAGTGGGCAAGTAGAAGTGTTAAATCCGGAAATAAAGCACATTCTTGAAAAAATAGTAAACACTACCCGGAAAGATTGGTTGAGCATATTAAATGATGCTTTGTGGGCTTATCGGACGTCATATAAGACTCCCATTGGCATGTCTCTTTATAGACTTGTCTATAGAAAGCCTTGCCATCTCTCGGTTGAATTAGAACACAAAGCTATGTGGGCGGTTGAAAAGCTCAATCTTGACCTTGACAAAGCCGGAGAGAATCGTTTACTCTGATTGAATGAGTTGGAAGAGTTAAGACACAATGTATATAATAATTGAATGAGTTGGAAGAATTAAGACACAATGTATATGATAATGCCAAACTTTACAAAGAAAGAACTAAAGCTTTTCATGACAAACATATTGTGAAGAAATCTTTTGAACTTGGTCAAAAAGCATGGCTCTTTAACTCTAGGCTAAAAGTATTTCCCAAAAAGTTACGAACCAAATGGGAAGGCCCATATGAGATCATTTCTGTTGCGCCTCATGGGACGATTGAAATACAAAGCTTAAAAGATGGAACTACATTCAAAGTGAATGGATAAAGGTTAAATCACTACATTGAAGGGCAAGTGTTTCAAAGACATATGGAATCCTC